GCGGGCGGGCGTTCGCTGCGCGGCGCGGCGCTCCCTGGGCGCGGTGCACGCGAGGCAGGTGAACGGCCGGTTAACAGGGCCGGGTTTGAGCACGTTTAACTTCGAAATTTTGAACTGCGCTTCAAATTCTACCTTTATAAAACTTGTAGCCCTAACATCTAGGTTTAAATCTTACAAATGGATTTTGCCCAAAATCTAAACGGATTTGAAAATATGGAGCCCCAAAGTTTGTGGGAACGTGTTCATTCAGACAGACAAATTTTTCAAGTTTGCCGATTTTCAGAGTTTTGGCCAACTTTGGCTCAAATTTTGAACGGCTTCCAGTTTGAATCAGGCCAAGGTGTAATGGACAAAGTTGTTCTTTGATCTTAGGGATCAAGCTTCTATTACTGACTTTTCTTAAGTTCAGTTCAACTTTGAGGAGAAAACTGCTTGCCAACTTGCATGTGAATTTGAACTCCTGTGAACTTGCATGTGAATTTGAACTCCTATGAACTTGCATGTATATGTGAACCGTTATGTTTTTGAAGTTAATGTGGTGCCGGTCTGTGAACTTGCTATATCATGTGTCATTATCATGCTGTATAAATGTTAAAATAAATGTTGTATAAATGTGTTAAAATGATGCTGTCTCATGTTGAAAAAAAAGAAAAAACGGCTTGCCAGCTTCTGCAAACTAGCCACCAGCAAAAAAAAAGAAACTAAAAAAAGGGGCGAAGCAAATTTGAGAGGAAAAAAACATGCGCCCTCCTCTGATGCATGCGCCCAGCTGCAAAAAAAGACCAGCCAGCCAGCGCTGCATGCATGCAACAGCGCCTCTGCATGCGCTGCATGCATGCGCCCAACGCCCGATGCATGCATGGCGCCAGCACCAGCGTCTGCATGCGTCTAGGGGCAAAAACGTCTTTTTAACAACCAGTTAACACCGTTAGCTAATGTATTTGACGGTAGTGTCAAATTATGGATGAAAGTCGAAGTGAGTGTTAAATAGGGAACGAAGAAAATTTCAGGGCCAACAAAGAAACGACTCATTTTCCCAGTGTCAAATAATGAATTCTCTCTTGATCTAGACATAATACATTTATAAATACATAGCAAAAGCTATGTATCTAGAAATATCGAAACATTTTATAATTGGAACTGAGGGAGTACTTCTCTTGCGCAACAAGCTGAAATATGCTTGAAACTGGAAACTTGTGTCTCACTCACTCCCTCCGTGTCTATGTAAAACATAAACGAGAGATTCTTCATGCCAAAGTGAACAGGATATTTTGCTTCTAGGCTGCAAAATTTCATTTGCCCTGCATGTCCAAGCTATGAATAATAAGATATATATATAGAGAGAGAGAGAGCCGAGCCCTTCTTTCATTAGGAAAGAGCATCAATGTGTGATGACTAGGTACTGGATGTAGCTTCGTGCTCCATGGCTGCTGCCCGCCCATGGATGCAGCTTTGTGCTCCGCCCCTGCTGCCATGTCCATGGATACAGCTTTATGCTCCGCACCTGCTTTGCTTCCTACACGCACGCGGGGACCGCTGCGCCCGAGTGGACCACCTTCGCCTACGCCCCCTTGCCACGCCTGCTCATGAAACACTTGCAACATAAAGCGTTTGCTGCAACATACGTCCGAAACAGATGAAACATTTATAACTTACGCTTGCAATATATGTGTGTGGGCACTGCAACATATGCAACATCCAGATAAAACACTTGCAACATATATTTGAAATAGTTGAAACAGTCCAAACATACACTTGCAACATATGGATAGCCAGTGCAACATATGCAACGTCGATATAAAACACTTGCAATATACGTTTGAAACATCTGAAACATACTCTTGCAACATACGTGTATAGCCATTGCAACATATGCAACACCAGATCTACTTTTGCAACATTCAAATAAAACATATGCAACATACATCTGAAACACATGAAACATACGATTGCAACATCTGCTCATCTACTTGCTTGGCGCGGAGGTCGGACCTCGGTTGTGCGTAGCGCGAGTCCGGGCGGGAGACGCAAGGTGCAGCGTAGCGCAGCGTGAGGCGCAAGGCATAAGTGGCGCGTGGCGCGCAAGGCCTGGGCGATGCGAGGCGAGAGCAGCCCGCGGCGCGAGGCACGAGGCACGAGGCTGCAGGCACACGTGGTGTGGGTGCAGGCGGGTCCGTCCCGTCCGGATGGAGGCTCGGTAGACAGCCGCAAAGCAAAAGGGGCTAGCGCAATCCTCTCCTGTTTAGGTATTAGATACATTAATGTTCAACTTGGTAGGATGTCGTTGTGCACAAAGACGTCGTACCAACATTTTGATCTTACCAGCAAACAGGAGTAAACCTGATCATGGGTTAAACGACCTGACCCACCGGTGCAACAGGTCAGGTTCAGGTCATAATTTTTGATCCATGACCCGATTGATAAAAAATGACCCAACACATAAATCTGAAAAAAAAAACGAGAAACAATTCAGACTTTGTGTCGAGTTTGGACCAAAGATTTTGACGCGACATTTTTTCTGGCCCGACCAGACCTGGCGTTTCATCAGGTCTAAATAGGCGTGATCAAGGATACTAGAGATGCAAGTTGTAATCTTCTAGAACCATTGGTCTAGATCCAGTATGATCATTTCGCTATGATCAAGCATGCGACACTAACGAGCTGGACATTTCTTCTAAACTCAAAACAGAGCTCTCTGTTCCTTACTAACATCATATTGATGAATTGAATACTAAGCTCTCAGCATGATAGGTAGGTTATTTCTAAGATTTAAATCAGTGACCTGAATACACAAAGCTTGTGATTATATAAGTTTCTGTTAACTTCACATTTACAAATCTTGTCTTATTTTTTTGACATTCAAATGATTTCAAATGAAAAGGACGTTAATAGCAAAGTTGTAGATATCGTCAAGACCTACAACTTTGATATTGATTTTGTTTCTATTTGAAGTTGTTTAAAATGTTCAAGAACTTATATTACATAATTAGACATATAAACCATCCCAAATTATAAAGTTGGGAGTAGTGTGTAAGCGAGCTGGCAATAAAATGAATGCGGAGGCATGCAAGAGTATTAATACACTCAACCGAAAACTAATTGAAACCATGATAGATCAATTAGTGAACCAGAAATTGCGGTAGCTATGTGTGTCAGCATGGCACTGTCTTCACCCTTGGAGGCTCGTCATCTTCACATCTCAAGGACCGTATCGACTGCTAAGTCGCTAGACTATCACCTCTCATAATCGTAAACCCTTCTCTCGTTTTCTGCTTCATGTTCATGACATCCTGAAATAGGAGGGCAAACAATATAGTCTGACTTAGTTTGGTTGCACAGGAGGTGGTGGCATTGCTATCTTGTTGTTTGTCTCCAATATCTTATTGATTGAGTTCCCTCCTTGATCCTCAAGATCCTCTCTCTGCTTATCCAAACAAAAAACCTTCAAGATATATAGAGATTGTTAGATGCTAAAACTAGGAGCTCACATGCATGAGCATGAATGAACGCATGACTTACCCACACGATTCTCATTCTAGTTAGTAGTCGCTCGGACTTACAACTTTAGAAAACATGACCAATAAAACTTGATTAACTAAGGGTATTTTGTGTGTATATAAGAGCCAATATAGATCATAGAGATTGAACAGTGCTTACCATGCTTTTTTTATACAAAAAATAAAAGGCAACGATCATGTGTTAAGAAAAGATGTGAACTTGTGAAGCATTTGACAATTTGTCATAATGCTATCAAAATATTACATGTTTATGAGAATTTTATTTCAGCATGACAAAAAAATGTTTCAGCATCAAGAGATTAATGTTCCAACATCACCATAAACACAAAAATCCTACATATTTAGATAAAAATGCTTATGATATATTCACATAATAAAACAACAATATGTAAAAATGAATCAGAGCACAAGTTTAAAAGAAACCAATAACAAAATTTACCCTAGGTTAGTGATAGAAAGGGGAAAAATCTTCCCTAGTGGTTCTGAAAAAATAAAGATAATTATTAGTGACAAGTTATGAAAATAAAAACAGTTGGAAGCAAAATAAAAATAGAAAAAAAAAGAAAACAAGACCATGGCAAAATAATAAAGGGAAAGAAGAAAAAGGAAACGGAGAAAAAAAAAAGAGCTAGTTTCATGGGCCGCTTTCTGCCCAAAGTCTTGCGCGCGTGCACCTGAGGAGAGAAATAGAAATCGGCCCAGTAGAGCGCGCGGAGAAGCAAGGCCCGGAAGAATTGCTCTCGTGCGTTCACATTTCTTCTCCCCTTCACCTCGCGTGCGCGGCAACTAGGGCGACCGCCGCCGCCGCCGCCATACGCCCAGCTGCCCAGGTGCCCTTAGCCGGCGACGAGAACTCTCCACACCAGGTATGCCCGCCCCTTCTATTTTCTTCCTGCTATGCGAAACTGAGCACCCGAACCTTCTCTTTTCTTCCTGCTGTGCGAAACTGAGCACCCGAACCTTAACTTGATGTACTTGGCTATTTGTGTTCGGATTTGAACTAATCACAAGTGTATACATATATTACGTATACTAGGTTCGATTTATTATATCGGGTGTACATGTGTTATGTGTACACCCGTGTCCTTTATTGGGTCCTCCCCTGGTTGGGGATGAAGAAGAAGCTTGAACTAACTGCAAGCTGCAGTTCGGCACTGCCCGAATGCCCTTTATAATTTGATAAATTTGAGACTCTTGTTACTCCTATGTAATACTAGAGCTTAAGTAGACTGCTATTTGCACTTTTATTCATTTATTAAAAAAAATACGAAGACGTAATTGCTTCTTGGGTTCTTTTTTTTGGCAACAATGCCATAATTTCAGTGTATCTGTATCAGGCTATCAGCCCAGTACCAACACATGTATCTGTATCTGTGCTGTGCAAGCGCAAACATTCACTTACTATAGTCTGCCTTCTTCCATTGGGAACAGGACATAACAGCGGTACAAGAGTGAACAAAGAAGCATCGAGAGGAAGACAATATGCCAAAGAAGGGGACTAAATCTAAGAAGAAGGAGGTGGACGATGTGCCCAATCAACAAGAAAATAAGCTTCCAGACTACCTGGAGCTCCAGCGCACACGCGTTGTCTGCAATGATGATGCCCCCATTTATGTACACACATTTATATGCCACTCTTCTTTAATGGCTTTTCATTTGTTGATCATGATCACCTTCATCACTTTAGCTTTGCACATGTTTCCTTGTGAAATTGTCTGTTTGGTCTGTTTGATATATTGTCTTGCATACAAACTTAATTTCACATATATGCACAGATATTTTTACATTAAGCGTCTAATTGACTACATCACAGAATACAGTAAGTGTTTTTATTTTTTCACCATTAATTTTGTGTGCTATTTTTCTTCAGATAAAGGATTGAACATGTTACTCTTTACCTGATCTTTTTTCGCTATCTTGTTAAGTGCACTGTTGAATTTGCTGCTATTCATACAAATTCTCTGAAAATAACCATTTTGGTTCTTGCTGATTTTTAACTGATTTTTTTTTGTGTATTTTTGGAAATAGTTTATATTTTTTGAAAGAACTTTCTCTTTGTTGATATTGAATTTCATTCAGTTCTATTATTGGCCCCATATATTACATTTTATGTTTCTCTTGTATGTTTAAAAGACTCAAGGTTACCAACACTGGGTACATTTGCTGCTATGGGAGTTGATAATAGCGTGTCAGTGGAGAAGTTTTGCAAGAACTTCAAAATCGAAATAAATCGTCTCACTGAAGATGATATGGAGTTCGATATGATTGGTATTGATGCATCAATAGCTAATGCTTTCCGGAGAATCCTTATCGCAGAGGTATTTGCATGTTTTATGAGATAACTGAAATCTATCTATTTTAGCACTTCATATGTATTAGAGTTCTGGATCAATAAGTTAATTTAAACTTCCTCTGAACTAGTAGGTTCCTACTATGGCAATTGAGAAAGTCTTCATGGTTGACAACACCTCAGTTATAGCAGATGAGGTTCTTTCACATAGACTAGGACTTATACCACCACTTGATGCAGATCCAAGACTCTTTGATTATATCTCAGGTAAGTACCTTCAATTGCTCTAGCTTCACCTTAATATATTTAACACAAGAGCCATCTTATTGTTCCTTTTTCTTTTCACAGAAAAAATTATGTCCCAAATGAAAGGAATACTATTGTTTATAAACTGCATGTTTCATGTCCAAAGGGTTCTCAACGAATTACAGGTATACCTTATCTTCCTGCAATGTCTGCTGATTACAGATCCCTGTCATCTTTCAAAATGAAATGCCATGCCCCATGTGGCAATGTTACCTTATTGGAATCATTGCTCAAATTGTAAAGCGCATTTAAGCACATGTGGACTTATGTGACATCTATTAAACGATTTACTTTTGTATGTGTACTGTGGTGACAAGTTAAAGTTTCCATTTGTAGTTTCCTTGTCGATGGATTTTACTTACCTCAAGTTGGCATCTTATGCACTTTGTCATTATATATTGCTATAAAGTTAAAAAAATAATTATATCTGTGATAGTTGAACTTTATGATCCTTTGCCTCCTTATATCTCTTTTCTTGTCAGCATAAACCAGATTTCCTCGTTGACTGCTTGGTTGTCTGTGACAGTGAAATCAAGTGAACTAGAGTGGTTACCAGAAGGTAGCCAATTAAGCATGTCAGCCCCTGCACACTCTGGGGACAAACAGAAGACTTTCACTTCCTTCAGTCAAAGCCAAAAGGAGATCTTAGAAAAGCCTCTTGGTGTGAAGTTTAAAGATATTACTATTGCCAGGCTTGGGCCAGGACAGGTAGCTGTGTGACTTGTTTTCTTGGCACCATTATGAAATGAATAGGTTTACCTACATCTTCTACACTTCTTGATTCAATATTTTGGTTAAGACACTTCGTTGCGTGATTGAGTCCATGTGGTAAAAATGGAACTTTAGTCCAGTGGAAATTACAGTTTTAATTTGTGCAGGAAATAGCTTTTCCTTAACTGATACCATAGAAATAAACTATGTTGGTGCTTGGAATTCATTCTGCGACTTTTTATGCATGCCAGATTTAAACTTTGTAAAGATAATTTGTCTATTATACCAGTTCTTTTTCCTCGAACGGTCTATTATTTCCATTAGGGTAATTGTACTTTGTAATTTAATCTGTTCTTTTATAGGCTATTGAATTCGAGGCACATGCTGTTAAGGGAGTTGGGAAAGTTCATGCCAAGTGGTCTCCAGTTGCGACGGCCTGGTACAGAATGCTCCCTGAGGTAAAATTGTTTCACTACCACATTTTACCACAAGATGGTGCATAAACTGTATCCGTTGCTTGTGTCCTGATGCTATATTGCTATATTATCAAGTAGGTTGTTATTCTTGAAGAAATTAAAGGTGCTCAAGCAGAGGAGCTAGTGAAGAAATGCCCAGTTAACGTTTTTGACATTGAAGACCTGGGTAATGGTAATTTCTCTTTCCCTTTCTTTTTTAAGAGGCTGAGCTTGAGGTAACAAGGGAGTCAGAAACTCAGTATTTAGCTGTAGTGGCAATCAGCAAGATGTTATACATTGGTTGCTGGAGCAAGTTGATTGTTTGAAGCATTTGAAACTCTTTAATGGTATCAACCACTGTTCTAGTAGAAGTTTATGATGATTACTAATTGCAAGTTTGAACAACAAAGAATTATAAGAAATGTAGTATCCCAGGTTTTTATAAGTTCTCATTTGGAAACTGTATTAGAACATGGTTGATGCTTAAGGGCTAGGGATCAAAAGCAACTTACGAAGCACTGACCTGGATGTCCATTGCATAAACTTTTTGGGTTTTATTAGCCATCCACATTAACCCTTACGTTTTTGTATACACAGGTGGAAAGAGGGCAGTTGTTGCAAAGCCAAGGGCATGCACACTCTGTAGAGAATGTATCAGGCCTGAAGAGTCGGAAGAGTCCACCGAGGGCGCGTCCGAAGCCCAGGAGTCATCTGCGCCCTGGAAGCAAATCGAGCTACGGCGTGTTAGAGACCACTTCATATGTAAGTAGTCAAGAACTCGATCATCTTATACCTCAAGTAAAATGTCTTCAGTATCGCGCCTCCATAGTTGGACAACTGTATCACAGAACAGAAGTTTTGTCCGATACGATAGCGCTGTACTTCCACTGCAACATTCTAATCCTCCGTGTTGGCTATTGTGTTTCCTCGCCAGTCACCATTGAGTCCACCGGAAGTCTGCGCCCGGAGGTGCTGTTCACAGAAGCCGTGAAGATTTTGGAAGAGAAGTGCGAGAGGGTCATATCTGAGCTATCCTGAGAGGCTGACACTGCAATTATGGAGTAGAGTAAACCAGCTCAGCCTGGCATATCTGGTATTTTGCTGGAGACTAGTGTGCCGTCAAACATTTTTGTGGTGGATGTTTGGGTCAGGAAATGAGAGCCGGACTAGTATCACTGTTGTGCTATAGAATAGCCTGTGTAACACACTGATGTTAGATTAAACTGTGGCAGGTGAATCAACAGGCAACACGAGATACTGGATATGGATCCAAATGGCAGTTGTGCCACAGGCAGATATCGGTGTGTTAGTGCACACCCATTGTGTTTTTGCATCGAGAAGATATGTGACTCGGTCCAGATTTTCCTGGCGTGTTAGTGCATTGTGTTTTTGCGTCGAGAAGATAGGTAACTCGGCCCAGGTTTTCCCAGGTTAACTCTGGAAGAGGTATGCGAATTCAGTTTTCACTTGCTATGGTGGCTTGGTGCCTCGAGGGCCATCTCTTTAGTGAATTACAAACACTGCCTATCTAGCTGACAAGCAGGCCTTCTCCAGAGCATGCGTGTCGAGGCATCTTCCACCTTTGTCCGTCAGCCTGGTTGCCACCTCCCCCTTCTAAGCTCTCTATCCATGGAGCCCCACCCACCGCCCGTCTCCTATCCTTCCCGCCTCTGGTTTTATTTTACACCAAATGGCACTTAGCAGCAAATGGATATATAAACTCTTTTACGACAAATGGCACTTAGCACCAAATTCTTAGCAACAAAATATTCATCACAAATATTTAGGCAGTGTGTCGCACAACACTAGTCTTTCTTGCTGTCTCATCATCTTTACCATCTCATATGTGGTACGAAATGTCGAAGAAGAGTTACACTACACAATCGCTTACCATCTTCATTAACATTCTTAAGGGCTACGGGATCAATTTATGTTTCATGCTCATAGTATCCTAGACCGTGAGTACCGACTTGACTCGATTTGGTGGCATAGGAGGTTATCGCATCATTGCCTTATTGTTTGCCTCCAATATCCGACTCATCTAGTCCTCCTTGATTGATATGATCTCTCTATCTAGTTTCTCCCCTTTACTTATCCAAACTTGATTGATATGATGCCTCTATATAGTTTGCCCTCTCCTCTACTTATCTAAACAAAAGGAGATAGGTAGATGGCAACTTTAGGTGGCTCATGCATGACTAACCTATTGGGGGCTCATGCATCAGCATGAATGAATGCATGACTTTCCCACGCGACTTGCATTATAATTATTAGTCGTCACTCGGGCTTGGAATTTTAAAATAGATTAGCACCAAAACTTAATTTGATAATTAAGTTTTTTCAAAATATTTTGGGTGGCCGGTAGCTGCGGCCTGCAATCACCACGCCGCCGGCGACTACCGCTTGCCCCTTCTCCTACTGCATCCCACGGTAGCCGTCAACGTTACGTTGATTAGTTAAATGGGAGCTGAACTAGTACCATGGTAATATCCTGTGTAACACAGTGTAATTTTAGATTAAACTCTGGCAGGTGAATCAGCAGGCAAACACGATGGATCCGAAATGGCAGTTGTGCCACGGTCAGATATCAGCGTGTGTTAGTGCACAAGCATTGTGTTTTTTGCACAGGTAGAGAAGATAGGTAACTGGGCCTAGGTTTGTGCCCAGGTTAACTCTGGAAGGGTGTGCGGAGTCACTTTCCACTCTCAGCGTCCAGTTGTGTTAGTGGGCCGGGCTGGACTGTTATTCATGTGCAGCATCGGTTCATGCCCCTCACCAGAGCTGCCACTGCAACTGCCCATCTCTATTTCCTCAAAAAAAAAAAAAAAAAAGGCAACTCTATTCAGTGACGAACAAACAATGCACATCGAGTGGAATGGGCCATCTCTTCAGTGACAATACTCGAGAGCGTGACCGTGGCCGCCGGTATCGAGTTCGCCTTGGTGCCCTCAAAACCTAGAAGCCAATGGTATTGAGTTCACTTTAGAGTCCTCCAAGACATTTTCTTTTTTGGATAGAAGAGTCCTCAAGACCTAGAGCTAATGGTATCGAGTTCGTCTCTCTTAGGGCCCTCCAAAACCTAGAGCCGTCATGGCCCATGGGTAGGGGTTTTGCATATATACCTAGGTGATCGCATTCGCATTCGCCTTTGCGCCACTGATTTGGTTACTGGTGCTCCGTAGTCAGATGAACAACCAACCGGCTCGCTCATGCATAAACGTCCCAAAGATCACTATGCAAATAATTGGAGGAGGAAAAACTTTGTTCGCTCAGCATGCCGCGTATTTTAGCTTGTTGAGCAAAAATAAATAACAACCACACATTTTGAGTGACTGATGGTCCACAATTGTTGCCTGGCTTATAACAACCAAAAAGCCCCTTAGACACTCGCAAACAGCCCCTTAAATCCCTAAATCTATTTTTACTAATTATTTTTTTGTTTTTCTTAGATTAATGATAAATAAAAATTATAAACAAAAATATTTCAAAGTAACGGTGGTACTTCTCAACCACACTAACATAGCTATAAAAACATTATTGGTCGCCTGAGCAAATGGCTATATAAACTCCTTGCAACAATTGGCGCTTAGCACGACACCGCCTTCATTGCTAGCTAGTGTGATCTTCACCATCTTATGCTTGTACGAACTGTCAAAGAAAAGTTACCTCACATAGTCATTTATCATCGTCGTCAACCCTCTCCAGTACTACTGGATAAATTTCTGGTTCATTCTCATGGTATTCTGTACTATGAGGACCACCCTGGCTCAATTTAGTTGCATAGGAACTTATCGCATTGTTTCCACTTGTGGTATCGTCAACCATGAGAGCTAACTCGACTCGACCTCGTTGGAAAGCAGCTTATTGTATTGTTGCCTTATTGTTTGCCTCCAATATCTTATTCATCTAGTTCCCTCCTGTCTCTATCTGGTTTCTCTCCCTCTTCTTGTCTAAACAAAAGGTCTCCAACTATTGTAGAATATATATATATATATATATATATATATATATATATATATATATATATATATATATATATATATATATATATATATATATATATACACACACACACACGGCCTGTTCGTTTCGGCTAAAACGATCATGGATTATTACTGCTGGCTGGTTTGGTGTGAGAGAAAAATATTGTTCTGGCTTATAATCCACGATCGTTTACAACTAAACGAACATGCTGATAGAGGGCAGTTTTAGGTGACTCATGCATGACCAATCATGAATGAATGCATGACTACTGCCCACGCTGCTTGCATTCCTTTTTATTGTTATTATTTTAATTAGAAAGCACCACCTACGTTACGTTGTTACTCCTCCGTCCTAAAATAAGCACTCATCTCACACTCCGACAGGTAACAAATCTCAAGTTTAACTAGATTTTTTTTAAAAATATTAACATTTATATCTTTAAATATATTTACTATAAAAATATATAACATGATTAATCTAATGATATTTATTTAGTATCATAAATATTAGTAACTTTTTAATATATTTGGTTAAATTTAAAAGTGTTGAGTCCTCGAAATGCGAGATGTGTACTATTTTGGGATGGAGGCGGGGAGTAGGTACGTGCTGAAAACATGTAAGGTTGTGTCTTGCATTGGACACTTTTTAATAACAAAAACACGCTTAACAGTGTTCATCAGGTTCTTCCTACACACTTTCTTTTATATTTGTTTCATCAGGTTGAAGCGGATGTGAATAACCAATTCCAATGCCACATGATACATCGTGCTAGAACTAGAACAATGTTTATATATTTTTTATAATCACAGATAGATCATTGTTTTGTTTGTTAACAGCCGATCACCATCGCATTAACAAACTGATGATCAGACACTACTGGTTGTGTTGTGTGAGTCTGAACTGAACTGAAGTTGCCGTCCCCGCGCCATCAGTCGGTGGTGTCTTTCCGCGGAGCGGAGTGTCCGATGCTATTGCGGCAGGCAACAAGCCACGCCGCCGCCTCAGCATCATCACCTGCCACCGTCATGGAGGCGGTGCTCATGAGTCATGACGCCGCAGACGCGTATGAGGCAGATGCGGTTGCAGTCGGCGGGGGACGTCGGACGCGCCGGCGGCAGCAGGGCGTTGTTGAAGCAGTCCTGGAGGCACCCGAAGTTGCAGGGGTAAGGCGGGGTGTCCTTCCGGCAGTCGGCGTAGCACGGCTTGTAGCAGCGGCAGAACTTGGACATGGCCGCCGCCGGCCGCTGCTGGGTCGACAGCAACACAACGACGAGCAGCGGAGCAGGCACCAGGCGGCGAGCCTCTTGCCCTCCATTGTACTGCTACTTGCTTCTTCTTCTTCTTCTTCTTCTGCGTATTTCCTAGTATCATATCATATATCGCCACAGAATGCATGAAAAAAAAACTGGACGAAATGGAAAATACCTTGGGATCAATTCTACTGTTCGATGTGCTGCGCCTCTGTTCGCTATGTACGTACGGTATATATAGACTCTCAAATCGATGATTTATTTTGCCTAGTAAATGAGTAATAAATAAATAAATGAAAATTATATATGCCTCTAACGCATGCAGGTAAAACGGAAGCCATCAATTACGGAGTTTTCAACTATATAGATTTGAACAGGCATAAATAGTGCAGGAAATCACTGATCAGGCACAACTCAGGAAATATTGCCACAAGCATAACGACACTAATGTGACCCGCATTGTAGGGCCTGATTGGTTAGTTGCATCTCCTAGCCTGGCTTGCGTGAAAAAACAATGTCATGGTACCGTGTAAATAATGAAAAAAAAACATCACGAAACATTATCACAAAACAGAAAATTGTCTAATATCAGATTTTTTGAATGTTATAAATTTAGACATTTTAATGTTTAATTTAATCCAAAATAAATAAATTCATGACAACATATATGTGCACATGCAAACTACAGTTAGTCACATAGTGGCAACCATGACGACTATACTGATCATAACCATCGCAAAGCCAAGAGACCAATGCCAAAGGCACCGGTGGCTCCATGCGCACTAGTCGATATAGTGCGTTGCTCGAAATTGGGTACCATAGTCGATGCAGAAAGGTGTTCACAGTGTAGTCCCGCGAATGTCCACCTAGGAAGAAGACCGCTACTAATCACCGGGAAGAAGACGAATTAGATCGACTGCTGCGTTAGACGCTCCCCAAAAACCCCATCGTCCGGCGCACCCAAGCGGTGTCGCAACCCCAAAAACCTCGTCGTCCGGCACACCCGAGCAGGTGTCACAACCCCAACCACCATCCCTTGGAATCCAATTATGCTCCCATATACGTGTGCTTTCACCATTTCCGGTTCTTTTGATCAAACCTTGCTCACGTCAACTTTGTCCATCAAGGATAGCTCTCCAAATTTGTGACGGTCTATTTCCTAGGGCTGCATTAAGAAAATGTTCATTTGGGAAATATAACGCTTTCAACAACCCAGCACTTAGGGAATATGAATTTTGCATAATCCTCCAATCCTGCCTTTGATTCCTATTGTGAACAAGCATTCTATAAGTAGATTCAAAAGAGAATATACCACTTCTTTCATAGTGCCATGCCCAAAAATAATCTTGCTGGCAGAGACTTAAAGGAATATTTTTATTACCTAGGCATCTATGTCATAGAAGTACTCTTTGAATTACATCATGCCTCCATTGCATATATATATATATATATATAATATGATGTACTAATTGACCGACGAGCCAACTGCACCTTTTTTAGTTTTCTCGGAAACCGACACAATTTTATTTATCATATTCTCCTAAGTTCTCCATTACCTAACTTCGTACCGAGCTTAACAAGCCGAGCCAAAGTCGAAAATCACTAAAATCAATTCCTTTTGTTTTAAAAGAAAAATGAGTTCAATCAAAACATTTTTTAAACGAGCCACCAAGCTAGCACTTTGAAAAATAAGGTGTAGGGCAGGTAAAAAAATCAGTTAGACTAGCAAGTCGCGTGGGCCTATCTGTCGGCCTGTTGGACTGACCCGTCCACATGCCCTGCCAGCGCGGCGCTGTTACGTTAGCCCAACGAGCGGATCGGAGCAGCCTACGTGGGTTAGGCCACGGGTCCCGGCGGCACCGCACCAAGTCCATGGGTGGATCCAAGGGTATTCCTAGTCATTTCCGAGAATACCAACTTTTTTTATGCACTCTTATATCTTAAATATATATGTATACAAAATCTTTATTGTGGTGGCATCCTTTGGTAACAATAATATAATTTCGGTTTCAGCTGAGGATGTTTGAAGCTGGAATACATATGTGCGGTGTAAACATAATTTTTGTTGACAAATATACATACATAACTAGAACAGCACCACCCATACTGCCAGGTGATAGAGTAGCATCATCGTCGCCAGGGAGTGCGCCGCCGGTGATGCAGCAGCCGTCGTCTGTGCCGCTGTGGTGTCGAAGATTAGCCGTGCGTTGTCAATGTCGTAGGTCATCTCTATGCCTGTCTGCACAAGGCTTCCCAGGAGTGACAGGCCCGTGTACGGCATGATGCTCAGGCATTCCAGGCCAGTGTCGTTGTCGGCGAACAAGTAGTTGTACCTCTTGAGGTCCATCACCGCGTCATCGCCGTCGAACACCAGCGCGAGCTTCGGGATCGTCACGCTCTTCAGGGACTGCATCGTGTAGCACAGGTCGAGCCCGATCGCCGAGCCGTCGACCGGCTGCGCCGCCGTGATGCTGCCGGCTATCGCCTTCCTCACGGCGTCGTACGCCGCCTGTTCGAGGACTGTGAGCGGGTAGGTCGTGCTCAGGAACACCCCGCCGGACCCGTTGGCCTGGAAGTCGAACGTCCCGGCTGGGATGTCGGCGGCGAGGTCGTTGCCGTCGACTCTTACGCCGGTGAGCTTGACGGAGTACAGGTCAGGGTATAGGGTGCTGTTGAGGAGGGGAGTAGAACGGCTGTTCTTCGTCTGCGGCGGCGCGGCGTCGCCGCCGAACTGGATCCGGCTGCTGTCGTCGGACTCGTCGTCGTCCGACGCCAAGAAGTAGGAGAACCAGGAGAGCTTCAGCTGCGACACCAGCGACAGGGGACCCCGGCTTAAGCCGAAGCTGCCGGACGCGCCGGACAAGTCCCCCTGCAGAAAAGCATCGCTGCAGCCAAACACCAAGCCGGGGACGGGAGTGTCGCCGAACGTGAAGGTGTCGTTGGCGAGGTACCCCGTCGTGTTGGTGCTCTCGGACATATATGTGTACTTGCAGCGGTCGTCGCCGGCGGCGTTGCCGGAGCAAGTGTAAGTGTCGTTGAGCACTTGCTGGCACGTCTGGCTACCGCAGGGAAGCCTCGCGAAGGTGGACGACCTGTCCGGCTCGAAGGCGGGCGCCGGCGCCGGCAGGCAGGGGCTGCAGGGCGAGCACTGAGACCAGACCAGCTGGCCGTTGATGTCCAGGACGCCGGGTATGTTCTGCGGCGGGGAGGATGTACCGACGGTGAGGTTGAAGACGAAGAGGGGAACGCTGTCGGCGGATTTGTCCATCACCAGTTCTTTGCGGCCTTTTTCCGCGAGTTTCTTCAACAGCTTGTCGATTATTTTCGCTCCCCTCTTCACGCTATTGGAGAAAACTCCAGGACCGACCCTCGACGACGGACGTGAACGGGCGCCGGCGGACATGGCGAGCGGCGGCGGCACGACGACCAGGAGCGCAAACACTACTGCTGCCACTGGCACTATCGGCCGGAAGCTCCGGCCCATTGTGTTGATTATTGAACTAACTCTGCTCTTTTTTTTTCAATTATTTCACGTTGCCAGTAGACTGTGCTACGCAGCTTTTATATAACCAACCACACTCCACACAGCAGGCTGTTGACACTTCAGTGCCTACGAGTCAACATGTACATACTTTATCCAGTGCATGAAAAAAACATTACGCTGTATATTAATTTGGAAATAAATTACATTGAAAATGCGATAAAAGCTTCCATTATCAAAACAAAATCCTACATCTGAATCCTTTCGTTTTTCCATTGCTGTTTTAGAGTATCTATATCTATATGATCACCGAATAAAAAAAAAAGTTTCCGCAACTGTCCAAGCCGACAATTTTATAAACTAGCACATCCCGCACGGCTCAGAATCTTAGGCGGTGTTTCTGGGACGGGACAAACCCATTTTCCATTTTCTATTTGATAAGAAGTGACGGGACTAACATCGTTTTTTTTTGTTCTGAGACATCAAAATAAGATCAGCCACATGACAAACAGGGCCAACATGTCATTCTCTTTTTTCCTTTCTTTCTTCCTCCTCCTCTGCTTCCCCTTCGTACGGACGTCGCTATTGATGGTCTGTCGGGCCTGCGCTCCGCCACACATGGCCATCAGGCCAATGCGCCACCACCCATGGCCGTCGGCCTCGCGCACCACCCCGTGTCGCCGCCCTCGGGCTTGCGCGCCCTTCTTGCTCGCAAGGACGCGCGAAGTCGCTCGTCCTAGGTGGGACGTCCCCGTCCATTCTTTTTTCCAGGGGCAAGTTGAACCCGGATCTAACGGGTATATTCCCTGGTTGGACGATCCCATCTGTGGTTGACTCTCAATCAAACACTAAGTCAAGGTGGGATATCCCACCTAGGACCATCTCATCTCTCAAACCAAACACTGCCTTATATTACATAAGTAGTAAGTATTTTATATATAAATTTAATATGTATAACTAACCAACACGTATTATCTTTACTCTACATGTATCTATTTATACAATACTCCAGTTATTCAATATAATTCATGTTTTTATCATTGCATTCCGTATTTTTAATATGTACTCCGTATGTAGTTAAAATCTTTAAGTTATATACCTCTTTTTGCATTCATTTTTTTTATATCATGAATCTGCTATATTTTAGGTTTTAACTTTGATCTTATTGGTTGGAGTAAATTTTTGAATCCATATGTTAAGTTCAAACCCTAGTGATTATTCTATATTTTATTCAAAGTTTATGTTTTATCTTTTATTTAAAAAATAGTTATAGGTCCTACACTCAACTCTTAGCTACTGTGATAGCATAAACAATCAATTCAACTTGCACCACCTCTAGAAACCTTAACCCTATTTATAGCAAAGCGCGGGTTGGTCAAAGTTATCCTAAGTTGTTTCTCCTCCGTGCTGTCAGCCTGCCAAATTTCGCCGCCTCCACCGTGCCACGACCCTCCACATCGGACACCCCTCCTCCACACCAGCCGCCGTGCACCGCCTACACGCCGGCAGCCTTCCTCCATGCTGGTGAGCACCGCTCTCTCTCCTTCCTAGGGCAACAACCATCGCCCAGTCCTAGGGTAACCACCGCCCGAGCTCTTACTCTCTCCTCCCTGTACTCTCCCTACCCGAGCTCCTACTTTCTCCTCCCCCTTCTGTAAATGCAATCTATAAGTGAGTTTTGGTGATAATGACTGTACAATTAAGGGTTAATGGCTTTTGTACGACGTTGACAACAAGTTAAATCATCGCGGGTGCATGACACGTGGAAGGAGCCCCCCTCAATTCAAAAGGAATGGCTTGGAAGCTCAAAGGGTTAGTTTAATTATATCTATGTTTTGAATTTGAGTTTAGGACAAGCCGTACTATAAAGGGAGAAGCCATTGGTAAGCTAGGATGAACCAAGTGCTCAAAATCCTATACACTCACAAGGACATCCAGCCTACACTCAACCAAAATCTTAAACTTCCACATCTTCTTTGGCTGCGTGGAACCTCCGCGCCATGGAGCCTCGGCGTGTTATGGGTGGAGCCTCTACGCACGCTCAGTCAGCCGTTCCCTGTGGGAGCTGAGGGGTATAAATGCTTATCCCCTCCCTCCCCCGATGGTCATCTTCTTCAATAATCCAACAACAAGCAGCTCGTCTCTCTCCTCTCCATATGCTGCAAACCACCGACCTCGATCCATTCTTAGTGATTTCTTGTGGTGATTAGCCTTGAGAGAGAGTTGAGAAGCTAGAGAAGAGCAAGCTCCCTCACATTTAAGCGTTTGGTGAAACCCTAGGCGACACATGACTGTGGTGTTTGTTACTCTTGGAGCAAGGCTCCTAGCCGGCTAATGGTTGCCCGTGTAGCACTCCTACCTTTGTGAGGTGCTTCAAGAAGCTTGTATTGCCCGGATTTGCTTAGTGGAACCCTCAAGCCTACTACTTGGTAATTGTCATGAGAAGAGGGAGGAATTGCAAGAACCTCCAAGCCTTTGTGTGGATTTTCTGCCGAATTACATGGTATATTTTAATGTAATATGCAAAACATGCCGCATCAACGCAATGCGACAAGCAACATACCGAGATTGTACATTGTGGATACTATGTCTACGAGTACATGCAGGTCACTGTGCAGTACTCGAGACACCACGAAAATATAAGTAACTAATAGGTTGTCATCTCTCATATAATAAGTTGTCATCGCACGCACATTATTGTTCAAAACCTTCATTCTAAACTATGTTTTCGTGTAGTTTATACTGGATCTTAATGCTAAGTGTGACTACATGATGACGATCTCCTGGAGATCGTCGTGAACCTATGCTGGTTTATACTGGACGAAGTTGTACACAGGAATGGTGAGTACCACGACCAATTGTTTGCGATAGGACATCAGGCTGATTGCATGAGGCTTCGCGACTGGCACGGTTTAAACTTATGTCGTTGAAAACAATGTGCATTTGACGTAACATTATTAGAAAATATTGATATGATGTTTGCTCCTCATTTGAATATATGTACATGTGTATATGCTGATTACAATGTGCTTGTATATGTATAATAATGTTATAGACTTTTGAAATTGATGCATGTTAATATATATACATACATGTGAAATAGGTGCACGTGAATATATATATACAATTAAATGTCTATTTATTATTTGAAATCTGAGTTTTGAATACTGGCGAGAAAGATTTGTAGAAGCGAATGTAGAACACATCCGCCTTTGGAACACTATTTTTAGAGACAACTCTTGTTTTTAGCAGTCTCTAGAAATTGATTGGACGGTTGGCTTAGCTGTCTCTAAAATCATTGATTTCTAGAGACACAGAACTACAGCCGCCGTTTCTAAAAATCTTTTCAGTAGCAGTGTTGCTGTACAGACTGGGCTACTTCGGACGGCCAGCATATGCTACGTAGCATCTATATGAGACACTGGATAATGACTTTGTTATATGTCGACTTGCCCAACGTGGACTCATCAACGGAGACTTGACTCGCCGTGCAATGCACGCAGAAAACCCTATCTCGAGTGTACTTAGAAGGTCCACAAAGTCACAAACCATACACGTGCATTATATTTTTTTAATGGACGAAAAAGCCCTATCTTCAGTGTGCTTAGAAGGTCCACACAAATTATGCATACACACGTGCATTATAATTTTTTGACGCAAATGTGCATTATATTCCAGACAACAATAATACAGTCCATATACGTTGCCATATCGATTCGCCGATTCATTCAATTTAATTGGTCAATAAATATAATATCATTTTCATGAAGAATTTTTGTAAAGCAGCAGTCTACGAAGTCGAAGTCTTGATAGATCGTTGTGTACCTAGCCAGGTCATGGGAAAAACTATTCAGATAATGCCGGTAATGTCAGGCATGGACTAGCCAAGAAAGTCTATTATTTTTTTGGAGCTGTCTATCTAGCACTAGTGTGTTTTACCGGCGTCGAGCACCTAATTTTTTCTCTCCATACCTTCTTCCTCCTCCCGACGCTCTGCCGCCGCCCACCGCCCCACTACGGCACGGTAGGGCTTGCCGGAGCTCCGCCGCCACGGCCATGGAGCTCCAGGGAGAGACCATACCGCACCCGTGGCGACCTCCTTCTTCCCTCCACCCCCTCCCATTGCCACCATGGCCATGGATGCCCCCACCCCGCCCTGGCCCGCCCGCCTCTGCAGCCGCTGGAACTCTAACGTCGCCCTCCCGTTGTCCCCACCACCTGGCCGGTCTGCCTCCCCCGAGCCTATTCTAAGGCCGCCAGATTTGGAGAAGAAGAGAGTGAGAGGCTGGAGATGGAGAAGAGAAAATTCGAGTGTTGGATTGCTCCAAAAAACTATCCTTCGAGCATCTCTGAGAGTTCTCAACAATTTCTTCCCAAAACCATAGACTTTTCCAACTCACCAAAAATTATTGGAAGGAATAAATAAGACCATATCCAACAGTTTTCAATAATTTACTCTTAAAATATAGAACACAATTTTATATCAGGAATCCTATACTATTTCTAAATTATCGTAACACTTTTATATATTTTTTCTCTCTTATACCCAAAATTTTCAAAATTGACATTCAAATCAAGATCACAGCTTCAGCTCCAATAATAATATTTTTATATATGTCCAGACGACACTACACAGACGTCGTCAGTGGGACATGCAAGATATTCCTACTCGTTGTTCTTTCTAAATTAGAAAACCGGCCTAAAAATTGTGCATTTGTATCTTGGACTATTTTTGGAACCAGAGAAAAGATAAATTAACCACACACACACGGCTACGTACACAGGTAACTTGTGATAGCCGAACAGGCCAGTTCGGACGGTTAGCATCTGAAGGTAGGTAGCATCTATATATATGATACACTGGATCGATAATGACTTTGTTATATGTCGTCTTGCCCAACGTGGACTCGTCAACGGAGACTTAAGACTCGCCGTGTGCAATGCACGCACAAAACCTTATATTGAGTGTACTTAGAAGGTCCACAAACCATACACGTGCATTA